GGGGAGCCGCCCGCCACGCCCGCGGGACTGGGCGCAGGGGGAGACCGCGTCTGCTTCAACTTGGGCCGCGAGCTTTATTTCTACCCCGGCTGCTGCCGCCGCGGGAGCCAACGGGTGAGCGGCCCGCGTTGTGGGGCCTGGGTGCTTGAGAGGACTGGGTCCCTGGGAAGTGATAGGTGAGTTCCCGAATTGACGGGAGGCCCCGAGAAAGGCATCCTAGATGCGATGGACACCCCAGGGGGACAAGGTTCTTAGAGGTAATGCAGGATTCTGGAAGGTGATAAGGGAATGGCTTCCGTGTGGGGATTTTGGGGCGACGAGTATTCCGTATGTGGTGGAGCTTGTGTTAAGATACCTGAGATGATGCGGGGTCCCCTGGATTCTGGGGTACCAGGCATTCTGCAGGTGGTGGAGAATTGTGAGATGATGCAAGCTCGGATGAGATGGAGAGCCCAGAAATATTGTAATCTGCGGGTATTAGAGGGGGCTCTTGAGACTTCTGGGAGCCCAGAAGTGAGGGTGATTCTGGACGAGATGTGGTTCTTAGAGGTAATAGGTGAATGCGATCCTAGGTAAAATTGGGGTCTGGAGATTATGAAGGCCCTGAAGGACCTAAACTGATGGGAGACTGAGGTGACAGAGGAAATCCTCAGGCATGGGCACCCTAAAGTGATCTAGGTCCTAGCGGGGCAGACCCCTGGAATGATGAGGATCCTCAGAGGCCAGAGGTGAAGAATGTACCTAGAGTTGATGAGTCCCTAGACTGTGACGGAAGTCCTGAGGTTTAAGGACTCCAAACTGAAGGGGATTCTGGGATATCGGGCTGCAGAGTCCTTGAACTTGGGTTTGCCCGAGGATTTGAGGTGTTGGACTAGTGTGCTACATCCCGAGGAGTTGCTGAGGTTACAGGGGCTGGGTTGGGCCTGGAAAAAAACTGGACTTGGGGACTAGGGAGCCCTGAACCCTGATGGTGTGGGATGCCTAAATTCGAGGTGGGAGTGTTCAACTGTGGAAAGGCACTGTGGTCTGAGGGGATGACTTTCCAGTTGGTGTTTGCACCACTGTGATTTGTGTCCCCTTCCTGTCTGTGGCTGCGCTCTCCCTCCCCACCTACCCACTTCCCTCAGGCATTTAACCCTGCTTCCTTTTAGTGGTTTTCTTCAACCTCAGCACCCTCTTCCTTCCTCTCAGTGGTATAAAGCTTTAACTCCTTTTCCTCCCACCACTCAAGTCCATTGACCTCAACAAGCCCATTGATAAGCGGATCTACAAGGGCACCCAGCCTACCTGTCATGACTTCAACCAGTTCACTGCTGCCACGGAGACCATCTCCCTGCTGGTGGGTTTCTCAGCTGGCCAGGTGCAGTACCTGGACCTCATCAAGAAGGACACCAGCAAGCTATTCAATGAGGAGGTGACTGTGCTGTTTGTCGTGGGACTGCAGCTGCCTGGGAGCAGGGTGGGCCTAAGGGGAAAGGGGAAAGAGAACATGGGGAATGGGGCTCACAGTGACAGCTTCCCCGGTCGTGCCTGGACCCTCTGCTCTGTCAGCCCCGTGCTGAGTTTTACTTGTTGAGCTTCATCAACCAATGGGTAAGAAATTTTGATGCCCACTTGCAAATCAGGGGACTGAGGCTAGTAACTTGCTGGGCCTTTTTGGATACCCTTGATCTTCAAATTCTGGGTTCTGTGGGTTTTGGATTCAAATCCCTGCTACACCATTGACTTGCTCTTTGACTTTGGGAAGATGACCACTCTCTAAGCCTCAGTTTTCCTCCTCTGCAAATAGGGTATTTATCCTTACCACCCGGGACCGATGTAAATTCATGTATGGCAAATGCTCAGTCTGGGCCAGTTTGGCTCAAGAAGAGAGGCCAGAACAAGGCCTTGTCTGCAGGCAGGAACTGCTCTTGCCCTGCATCTCCTTCTCTCTGGTCCAGAGGGGTGTTCCATAAATATTGGCTGAATGGCTGAATGGCTGAAGGGAGCAAGGGGAATGGAGTGTGGATTAAATGCATCCGCTCCTCCATTCACAGAGTAGATACAGAGCACCTGTCCTGTGTCAGGCATGGTTCCAAGCACATCTCTGAGCATAAGAACAGAGGGACCTGTCCTTGCTGAGCTTTCAGTCACGCTGGGAGGCACATGCTCACCAGCTACAATAAGGGTCCCACATGTTGGCTGGTGGTGAGACCCTTGGGAAAGGAGCAGCGAGGAAGTGTGGTGAGTTGGAATAGATTGGTCAGGAAGATCTGAGGAGACCAGAAAAGTCCCTGGGGAAGGACAGTCTTGAGTAGAGGGAAACTGAGGATAAAGGTCCTGAAGCAGGACACCGGAAGGCTGGGTGGCCAGGGCAGTAGTTGAAGGAGAGCGGATGGTAGATGAATCTGGGGACATGGCAGGAGGGGCCAGCTCCCTGGCAGCGGGGCAGAGACTTTGCCTCTTCCTTGTGGATAGAGTCTGTGGAGCAGCCGTCCAGCTGGCTTACCTGAGCCACGGAGCAGAGAATGGTTCGGGGAGGGTGGTTTCCTCAGCTCTCAGAACGGGAGAGAAGTCCCCTCATCATGATGCTGGGTGCCTAGGGCTTTGCTCTCTGGAACCCTGGTGGAGGCGGCCGCGAAGTGTCCTGGCAGGTGCTGCCCTGTGTTTAACAGCTCCCTGCTGATGACGAGAGGAGATTGGCCCAGGTGCTGGAGGCCTGGAGGCCAGGGAGGCAGTGTGAGAGTGGTGGCAGCTGGAGTGGGCTGGTGAGTATAGGTCAGGATCTACTTTGAAAGTTAAGACTGCAGGATTTGTTGGAGGATTGGACGTGAGCTGTGATGAGAAAGGAGCGAAGATGCTTTGAAGGCTTTCGACCTAAGTAGTCAGCAGGGTGGGGCTGTCAGTCATCTCCAAGGCACCTGCTGTGTACCGAGCGGTGTGCTAGGGCTGACATTGTGGGCATCAGTTTCCTGCCTCAACCCTCACGTGGTGAAGTTGGGGAAAGGATTAGGCAGATGGACGACAGTGGACTGGCAGGTGGATTGTGCCCTTGCTAAAGATGGGCCGTCAGGGCTGTGTGGAGCTTCCCTTACCGTGGCCCCTCATAGGCAGCCCTTATCTCTGCTCCGTGGTGACCTGGCATCTGCCTCCCTCAGTGTGGGAGCCTGGGCCTGGCACAGCACCACCTCTATGAGTTGGCCAAGGTCTGCAGGCCTTGGGGCCCCAGGTTGGGGTAAGAGTGGCAGGAGCTAACAGTGTCCTCCAACCCCACTCTGTCTCTCCTTGCAGCGGCTGATTGACAAGACCAAGGTGACGTATCTCAAGTGGCTGCCTGAATCCGAGAGCCTGTTCCTGGCTTCCCATGCGAGCGGCCACCTGTACCTGTACAATGTCAGCCACCCATGCGCCTCGGCCCCGCCCCAGTACAGCCTGCTGAAGCAGGGTGAGGGCTTTGCCGTCTACGCCGCCAAGAGCAAAGCACCCCGCAACCCGCTGGCCAAGTGGGCAGTGGGTGAAGGGCCCCTCAACGAGTTTGCCTTCTCGCCCGACGGCCGCCACCTGGCCTGTGTCAGCCAGGACGGCTGCCTGCGCGTCTTCCACTTCGACTCTATGCTCCTGCGGGGGCTCATGAAGAGCTACTTTGGGGGCCTGCTCTGCGTGTGCTGGAGCCCCGATGGCCGCTATGTCGTGACGGGAGGTGAAGACGACCTGGTCACTGTGTGGTCCTTCACTGAGGGCCGCGTGGTGGCTCGAGGCCATGGCCACAAGTCCTGGGTCAACGCTGTGGCTTTTGACCCCTACACCACTCGGGCAGAAGAGGCGACCGCGGGCAGTGGTGATGGGGATGGGAGTGGCGAGGAGGAGGAGGAGCCTGAGGCTGCTGGCACAGGCACAGGCGGGGGCGCCCCGCTCTCCCCGCTGCCCAAGGCCGGCTCCATCACTTACCGCTTCGGTTCGGCGGGTCAGGACACACAGTTCTGCCTGTGGGACCTCACTGAAGACGTGCTTTCCCCACACCCGCCCC